CAATGTTCATTCGAAGGTGTCCTCAGATCCGTATGAAACTAATTTTCACTGCTCTAGAGAAACAAGTAAAAAAAAAAAGCTAAAAATCTATTGAGATGTATGACCTATTCAGGCTTGCTTCCTGTGGGCTATTAACCAGCTCTAGCTTTGATATAGATATAGATTTGCTTGATTTTCTACGTTCCCGATGAACGTAACTCAACTGATTTCTGTATCCGTTTTTCTTTTTAAACATGTTGTCTCAAAATCGAGTCTTATCGATTTTATAGGAATGATAAACTTATTTTGCGTATGTTATAGAAGAATATATGCTCCAAATTACTGTCTCTAGGCTTTCTAGTTGCAAGGAACTACTAACAAACTGTCATATGGACATGGCAAAATCGACTCTGCTTGTTATCCTGATCAATAATATGCATACGCATTGAGGTATTTAAATATTGCACTACCCTCTTAACCCATTTCAAATGGACCGGGGCACATGCTATTCTATCATATTATATTTGCCTAGCCGCACACTCTCTGTGATTTTATTGTCATATGTATAATTTATAGCCGCATGTTAATTTTTCAACTGGTTAATGAGCGGAAGTGGTCATCATCGTTGTATGTTTCAAGTTGTATATGTCACGTTAATTAATTGCAGTGTATAGGTAAGTGTTTGATGCGGGTATGTGTGAGTGTGTGTGTGTGTGTGTATGAGGTGGGCGTGGCACAGTCAGGTGTGCCGCCTGCCGGACTGCATTATTAATTACAATTAGCCGGGAAAGCGGGTGTGTTAATTTGTAAATGTGAAGGTGTAATTTTCCGTAGAAATGTTCAACGCCAGCGTTTAATTTATGAGCCAGCTGTTAAGTGCTGCACTTTGTGTGACAAATGGCTACAAAGTTACATATGCAGCTTTGATTTTTATATGTTTTACATATATAAGGCAATTAAAACTATGAACTCACGGCTGAATTCATAAAAACTGGGTTATGGGTTATTGCAACAAAGTTGTGAGCCCCCCAGCAATGTGGCTTTCCTGCCGCCGTTTGAGTTAAATCGAAGTGGGCGGCGAGAATATTGTTTAACTTAATGAATTCTGCCCATGTGCTCTCCATTTTTAAGCCACTAAATTTTGGTGAAGGTATCTTGAAAATCAGAAGATCTCTATGTGCAAAACTATTTGTTCTGACTGAAAGACTTGCTTCTTTATTCGATGATCGACATGGGCGGGTAATAAGGAGCATAGTCTAAGTTTCAAATGCCGAATTTGGTCAAACAGTTTTTCATACAAGGTCGACCAATCGTTCCCATGGCAGCTACTTGATATAGTGGCCCGATCCGGCCCGCTTCGACCAATGCAAAGTTTCAGGAGGACATCCTTAAAACTGGAAGATCTGCTTGCACTGTTGGCTGTTGATAATGATACATATTATATACACTTTATAGAGTCGAGGATATGTCCTTGAATGTGTTACACATTGCATGACCGTATACCGCCAAATAAGTTTTACACAGCAAGGCGAAACTGACGTTTCAGACTTTTAAACTTTTCCCATGAGGAACTTTGCCAATTTCACTAAAAATCTATTTATTAAAAGCTTTAATAATAGTCAATAACATGTAATTAAGGTAGCTAGAAGTATCAAACATAATTAAGGGCGTATAACATTCTCAAATCAAAGCTGGGTTCGGAACGAATATTGACTTAAAGTCAATTTAGGTATTTTTAAATCGTATTAATTCCGAGATTGATAGAAACTTTCTTTCACTTCTATCTCTTTTATCAATTCATTAAATATGGCAATTTTCTAAAATAGCAGCACCTCTCAGTAGGTAAATGCTAATATCAATCGATCCACATTTGATGAACCTCATCAAATTCGAAAAGAAGTGCTGCATTATGGGTAATGTATGTTACCTGCACAGCTGCTATAGCAATTAGGAGCTATGGGAGACAAATCTATTGACTGTTCAGAGGCTGCATTTCAAATTGAAATCGTATTTTGTTTGCCGTTGTTGACATGAGGCAGTTAGTTGATTTCGTTTAGCACAGAGGCACAAGCTTAGCACAATTCCATGACATCTGGAGCAACCAGGCTGGCTGGCTGTTTGGTCAGCTGTACTGACTGGTCTGGTCTGGTCTAAAAGAGATGAAGTGACGTAAATTAAATTAGTGTCAAAAGAGCATTGTGAGCGTGAGCGAGTGTCTGTGCGTGCCTGCCACGGCAGCCAAACATAATGACCACCGGCAAAGGCAACAGCCAACAACAGGCAGGAGGTAGTACGAGGCGGTGGGCAGGCTTGGTGCATGAGTCATGGGGCACGGTGCGCGGTGCGCGGGGCACAGCTAAAACTGTATGCAAATTATGCTTGACATTGTTTCAGCATACTTTTTGGCGTGCAAGCCAAGACAAAAGCTGACATTTAGCCCAAGGAGAAACAGAGACGGCTGCAAAGGCAGCCACAAGCAAACCCAGCACTACAAGCAACGGGTAGAAGGACTATGTGTGTGTATGTGACTGTATCAATGTGAGTCTGTAAGTGTGTGTGTGTGTGTGTGCAGCCATTTGAAACTTTGTGACATTTTTTGGCGCGTACAGCGGAAACGTGCAAAACTGGCAAATTTATAATGAGACGCGGGTTCAGCGCCGCTCGCCTGCCAGCGGCATTTTCTCTTGGTCTGCTAAGCACTAAGCGCATTTGTCGCTGGCTGCTAGCAGCTGGGGGATCGGGGATCGGGGGTGGGCGAATGGAAGCTGGGTGCGGTACAAAGACAGCTTCAAAAGGTTTTCATGGCGTCAAAATGTGTTTAGCTCGCGCAGCTTGTGACTAATACCTAAAAATGCTTTTAGAGTTTCATATTTTGATTTATTGGCTGGCACACACACACACACAGAGACACACATGCATACATTGAAAGCTTATTGCAAAAGCATTTGCATTTCGAACCAGCCATGACTGAGCACACAAATTGATGTATGGGACTTGAACCTGTTACCTACTTTCCTACACTAGCGCCATCTCCATATCGGCTGGCTCTACCGCCCGCCTCACCACCTCACCACTTCATTGACGTCAATAAATTACGTTATTGATATTAAATATCAACGAGGCGTTCTGCATTTAAATTTAAATTTAAATTCGCCTGCATAGGCTTTTCGAGCGAGCTGTTGTGTGCATTGTTTTTCTCTCATACTGAAATAAAATTGATTTTCACGCATAATATATGTATTTCCGCGCTTAATTGCGCCATCTTTAAACTGTAAATACGATAACAACATTCATTCATTGGATACGAGCATATATATAGCTTTTATTCAATTGAATGATGAACGAATTTTAGTAAAGCCACACGAAATTGCGGCTTAAATTGGGAATATTTAACAATTGGTCTATATATAAGTATCTAAAATAAACTGGAATAACATGTAAGAGTGGCCTAGTCGGGAGGCTAGTGTATACCCATAACCTTCTTCGCTGGGTCGGGGATTCTAGTATATGCATACACTTGTTGTACTGTTCTTGAAGCAACATATTTAGTTTGATGATTCTAGTTAATCAAATCAGAGATTTGCTCAGAAAACCAGGATTTTGATATCGATTCTTATCGATTGCTTGGAAACGGAGCAAGATATCGACTATTGGAAATAAACGCGTACTGTGCGGGCACAAGGAATACCAACAATCAATGATTTATTTCTAGCTCTTATAGGTTCAGAGATCGAAGCGTTCATGCATACGGACGGACCATGACGGACGGACGGACGGATGGCTAGGTCGGCTTTATATACTTTACGGGGTGGGAGTTGCTTTCTTTCGCCTGTCATAGACATTTCCACAAATAAATTACACCCTCTTTAACCATTATGAATGGGTTCACTTACTAAACAACATAGTGGTCCAGGGTACTAAAATGGGACTACCTTATATTAATAAATGCAACAGCAACACTTACAGCTAGGTACGTAAGCAAAGATAAGATGGGACTGTAAATATAGTTATATTGATAAAGAAACTAGTTTAATAATTATAACACAACACATTGTGTTTGGTCATGAACAAGACTAATTCAACATTTTCCTGACCTAGGTTAAACAAAAACATCAAACCCCTGCACAAATTGCAAAGTCATTTGTTGATAGTGAGCACAAACCTGCTCGACCGATTTTGTCTGAGGTGGGGATACTGCTTGTGTACATATATGAATTGCTAGCATTACAAAGTATAAAATTTAATAGTTCACAATCGGAGCCACTAGCGTTGCGAAAAGTCACAATGAGTACAAGCTTATTATCACAATCACATAATCCTATTAGAGAAAAAGTGTCAGTAGAGAAACATCTTATCAAAAAAGGAAGAAAAATACGCTACCTTACCATGACAATTTTATTAAAACTCATGTTGACAATTTTACTGGCAAATAGGTATTTTCTATAATGTCTAGATTACTAGCAAACAGTTGTATACCCTGTTTATTTAAAAAAAAGGGTATATAAATTTGAAATAACTTAAAGAATTAAGACAGAATGAATCATATTTGTAATATATATGAAGTAATCCAACAGCTATGCACTTTTACTGTAAGCTAAATGCAGTTAAGAGAATAATAAATTTATTTATCGGCGTTTACTCCCCATTGTGAAATTATTGTGTTTCCATTTGTCATTGTTCATAGCAAGTAAATGCACATTTGTGCCTTGTCACTGTGAAATTTAAAAAAATTCATTTGCCCTACCACACCGCCCTGCAAACGGTGTGGCTATGCACCAACACATTCTCAACAATATACCTCACAAATGTGGGCATGCTTAAGGTACTGATAAGAGGCACAAGCGGCGGCGATTAAGGCAACGAAGCACCTCCGATGAGAATAGGGGGCAGCGCGGGTTCGGCAATCGTTCGGGGCTCGATTGCGATAAGATGGTAGCATTTCGCACACGACTATAAAGACGCCTAAATATTTCATCAGTTAGTTTCATTTGAAGTCGCGTGTCGTACACTCGTACGTCGCAATGATTGTAATATTATTTCTGCTGGGGGCGGTCGCACTCCTGTATATCTATCTGAAATGGACCTTCAGCTTTTGGCAGCGGAAGGGCTTCCCTTCAGCCGCTGGAACCATACCCTTTGGCGCTTTGGACTCGGTGCGCAGAAATAAGCGCTCCTTCGGCTTGGCCATCTATGACATGTACCTGTCGACAACAAAGCCATTTTTGGGTATATATCTGACGCTGAGGCCGGCGCTGTTGGTGCGCGATGCACAGTTGGTCCAAGATATAATGGTCAAGGACTTTGCCAGTTTCCACGATCGCGGTGTTTACGTGGACGAGAAACACGATCCCCTGTCGGCAAGTCTCTTCTCAATGGAGGGCAAGAGCTGGAAGACAATGCGCACCAAGCTGACGCCCTCGTTTACATCTGGCAAACTGAAGGGAATGTTTGGTACTGCAGAGGATGTTGCGGACAAGATGTTGGCCCATTTAAATGTAAAAATACAACAGTCTGGAACTGTGGAAATCGATATGAAGAATTTGATGTCATGGTAAGTCTGCTGTCCAGTTCTAGTAGGAGATTTCATGTCTAGACAAGTTTGTGCCCTTCTTCGATTGTGCTTTTAGCTTTGCGATTGACATTATTGCCTCGACCATATTTGGCCTGGATGTGGACAGCTTTTCACAACCCGACAACGTCGCATAAGTAAAGCGGTTAATCAGAACACCCCCAAAAACATTCTGCGTGGAACTACATCCTTTTTATATCCCGGGTATGGCTAATGCTGAATTAATTTCCATGTGCAACAATAGATATGGTTTCCATCTTCTGCTAGCTTGGAGAAAATCTTCAATCGTCTGGGCTGGAAACCGGATGGCGTGGAAGACATGCGAGATCTGGTGCATCATACCATTTCAATGAGGGAGCAGAGCAACGCGGAACGCCGTGACCTGATGCAACTTCTACTGCAGCTGCGTAACACTGGAGAGGTCAGCAAGGACGACAGCATTTGGTCGGCAAAGGCAACCGGGGATACGTTTAAGGCCCTATCCAAGGATAACGTTGCTGCCCAGCTTTTCTTGTTCTTTGTGGCTGGATATGAAACAACTGCATCGACGGCCGCATTTACTCTGTACGAGCTGGCGCAGAATCCGGACGTATTGGCCAAGTTGTTGGACGACATCAATCAGACGCTGGCCAAACACAACGGAGTGCTCAACTATGATGCTATACAGGACATGAAGTATTTGGAATTGTGCATTATGGGTAGGCTTAAACACGAAGATTTGCCCGATATATTGTGATAATATTGTTCGCTTTGCAGAGACTGCTCGCAAATATCCCGCGCTACCGATACTCAATCGCATGTGCCACCAAGACTATCCTTTGCCGAATAGCAAGCTGGTCCTTAAGAAGGGCACCGAAATTATCATTTCGCTGCTGGGCATGCATCGCGACGCGGAATACTTCCCGGATCCGCTCAGCTATCAGCCAGAACGCTTCACCGAAGAGCATAAGAACTACAACCCTATCGCTTATATGCCCTTCGGTGTTGGACCGCGTCAATGCATTGGTAAGCAGAGGATTACCCCAAGATACCCTGTAATATTTATTTATTGTGACTATTTATAGCGGCTAGAATGGGCAAGCTGAATGTCAAGATTGCCTTGACCACAATACTTACGAACTATAACTTAGAAACGCGCCAGCAAAAACGTGAGATCGAGTTCACCGTGCACGGAATTCCCTTGCTCTCAAAGGGAGGCGTGCCTATAAAGCTCTCCAAAAAAAAATAGACCTACAAAATAATGAAAATCTGCATGAAAATCTTCACACTTCCGTGACTAATTAATGCGATTCATTCATGCCACAAAAGGACTATATTTATGAACGGGTAAACACTTTTTTTTCAACTAAGTATATGTTTTTTTGTGCTCTAGAATTGATCTGTATCTTGTGATCTGATCTTTCTTCTAGAAAAGTATAACTAATAATTAAGATCTTTAATAAAAGTTTTAAAAATTGTGCAGCATAAACTCTTATAGTCCTTGTATAGATTTTAGTTTATTGGAGTTAAATAGTTTTATTTCAGACACTTTCCTTATTAAAGCATTGTCCAGCATTTACTTACAAGGGGTGTCAAATTGCATTCAAATATGTCTCTATTCCTCTTTCTACACTTTATAAAAATGCAATTTAAAGAAGATTAGTTTTCCGATCCGATTATGGTAAGGAACGCACGTCATAATGTCGCTAGGGGCTCACTTGTCGGGTTTTTTCTTCAAATTAGAGCTCTACGTTTATTAAATTTCTTCGGCTTTTGCCAATTGCGCGTAAAAACTTGGCGTCAGCGTCAAGTAATCAGTTTTCACTTGAACGGTGTCTGTTGAGGCCAAAATTCATTTCGGACCTGGGTGTGGGAGGTCCTGCTGCCCACGCCGTTGACAAGTTGACTAACTTTTAATGCCGCTCACTTAAAAGTTGGTGGCGGCTGCAACGCCCGCCTGCCACGCCTTCCGCCTGCCAGTTGCAGGGAAGCCAGCATTGTTCCCGACACCGTGTTCGTTTTATTAAAAACTTGATGCACCAAAAGGCAAAATTTTCATACAAAAGGTCGCTTAATATACACATACATATACTCATACTTTATTTTTGGCTGCTCAGTTGTGCAGCAGCTAGAAATTAAGCAAGTCGCGGCGTGTAATTATTTACCCCACCCTTAATTGGGCGCTGCGACAAAGGCTACAAAGTCTTGGCCAAGCTGGCTTAACTATTTAAAGTCATCATAAAGTATATTTATGTACATTTGAGTAATTTTAAATTATGTCACGTTACACACATAGCCTGAATGCATTTTAAAAGGGCTAGAAGGATAAAATAATCTCATAAAGTATATATATTCTGGCCAAATCTGTCTATCCGCATGTATGAACACATTTGCCTTACGGTCTTGCAGATGTGTGAAAAGAGTGAAGGTGGCCAAATATCTTTAAAAACAGAGCATTTTGCCAGATAGGATCCTTATATTCGACCGAATCTTGCTATAGCAGCTGTATTATATCCGAAAATAAAAATATATATAAAAAAATAAACTTCGTGAAAATCGGATGAGATTTGGCCGAGTTATGGTGGTGGTAAATTTTGACCCATGTCTATATACGAATATTGGGGTAAGATTTGGACATGCATTTCGGCTAAAAAATCGGTGTCGAGATTTGAATGCCAGATTAATCTAGAGGGAAATCCATGAGGAAAACGCCAAACTTCGTGGAAATCGGATGAGATTTGACCGAGTTATGGGGGTGGTAATTTTTGATCCATGTCTATATACGAATCTTGGGGTAAGATTTGAACATGAATTTCGAGCAAAAAATGGGTGTCGAGCTTTGAATGCAACATTAATCTAGAGCGAAAACCATGAAGAAAAAGCCAAACTTCGTGAAAATCGGATGAGATTTGGCCGAGATATGGGGGTGGTAATTTTTGACCCGTGTCTATATACGAATCTTGGGGTAAGATTTGGACATGCATTTCGACTAAAAAATCGGTGTTCAGATTTAAATGCCAGATTAATCTAGTGGGAAAATCATGAACAAAGAGCCAAACTTCGTGAAAATCGGATGAGATTTGGCCGAGATATGGGGGTGGTAATTTTTGACCCATGTCTATGTACGAATCTTGGGGTAAGATTTGGACATGCATATCGACTAAAAATTCGGTGTTCAGATTTAAATGCCAGATTAATCTAGAGGGAAAATCATGAATAAAAAGCCAAACTTCGTAAAAATCGTGTGAGATTTGGCCGAGTTATGGGGGTGGTAAATGTTGACTCATGTCTATATACGAATATTGGGGTAAGATTTGGACATGCATTTCGGCTAAAAAATCGGTGTCGAGATTTGAATGCCAGATTAATCTAGAGGGAAATCCATGAAGAATACGCCAAACTTCGTGGAAATCGGATGAGATTTGACCGAGTTATGGGGGTGGTAATTTTTGACCCATGTCTATATACGAATCTTGGGGTAAGATTTGGACATTAATTTCGGTCAAAAAATCGATGTTCAGATTTGAATGCCAGATTAATCTAGAAGGAAAACCATGAAGAAAAATCCAAACTTCGTGAAAATCGGATGAGATTTGGCCGAGATATGGGGGTGGTAAATTTTGACCCATGTCTATATACGAATCTTGGGGTAAGATTTGGACATGAATTTCGACTAAAAAATCGATGTTCAGATTTAAATGCCAGATTAATCTAGGGGGAAAACCATGAACAAAAAGCCAAACTTCGTGAAAATCGGATGAGATTTGGCTGTGATATGGGGGTGGTAATTTTTGACCCATGTCTATATACGAATATTGGGGTAAGATTAGGACATGAATTTCGATCAAAAAATCGATGTTCAGATTTGAATGCCAGATTAATCTAGAGGGAAAACCATGAACAAAAAGCCAAACTTCGTGAAAATCGGATGAGATTTGGCCGAGATATGGGGGTGGTAATTTTTGACCCATGTCTATATACGAATCTTGGGGTAAGATTTGGACATACATTTCGACTAAAACATCGGCGTTCAGATTTAAATGCCAGATTAATCTAGAGGGAAAACCATGAACAAAAAGCCAAACTTCGTGAAAATCGGATGAGATTTGGCTGTGATATGGGGGTGGTAATTTTTGACCCATGTCTATATACGAATATTGGGGTAAGATTAGGACATGAATTTCGATCAAAAAATCGATGTTCAGATTTGAATGCCAGATTAATCTAGAGGGAAAACCATGAAGAAAAAGCCAAACTTCGTGAAAATCGGATGAGATTTGGCCGAGATATGGGGGTGGTAATTTTTGACCCATGTCTATATACGAATCTTGGGGTAAGATTTGGACATGAATTTCGATCAAAAACTCGATGTTCAGATTTGAATGCCAGATTAATCTAGAGGGAAAACCATGAAGAAAAAGCCAAACTTCGTGAAAATCGGATGAGATTTGGCCGAGATATGGGGGTGGTAATTTTTGACCCATGTCTATATACGAATCTTGGGGTAAGATTTGGACATACATTTCGACTAAAACATCGGTGTTCAGATTTAAATGCCAGATTAATCTAGAGGGAAAACCATGAAGAAAAAGCCAACCTTCGTGAAAATCGGATGAGGTTTGGCCGAGATATGGGGGTGGTAATTTTTGACCCATGTCTATATACGAATATTGGGGTAAGATTAGGACATGAATTTCGATCAAAAAATCGATGTTCGATGTTCAGATTTAAATGCCAGATTAATCTAGAGGGAAAACCATGAAGAAAAAGCCAAACTTCGTGAAAATCGGATGAGATTTGGCCGAGATATGGGGGTGGTAATTTTTGACCCATGTCTATATACGAATATTGGGGTAAGATTAGGACATGAATTTCGATCAAAAAATCGATGTTCAGATTTGAATGCCAGATTAATCTAGAGGGAAAACCATGAAGAAAAAGCCAAACTTCGTGAAAATCGGATGAGATTTGGCCGAGATATGGGGGTGGTAATTTTTGACCCATGTCTATATACGAATCTTGGGGTAAGATTTGGACATGAAGTTCGATCAAAAACTCGATGTTCAGATTTGAATGCCAGATTAATCTAGAGGGAAAACCATGAAGAAAAAGCCAAACTTCGTGAAAATCGGATGAGATTTGGCCGAGATATGGGGGTGGTAATTTTTGACCCATGTCTATATACGAATCTTGGGGTAAGATTTGGACATACATTTCGACTAAAACATCGGTGTTCAGATTTAAATGCCAGATTAATCTAGAGGGAAAACCATGAAGAAAAAGCCAAACTTCGTGAAAATCGGATGAGATTTGGCCGAGATATGGGGGTGGTAATTTTTGACCCATGTCTATATACGAATCTTGGGGTAAGATTTGGACATACATTTCGACTAAAACATCGGTGTTCAGATTTAAATGCCAGATTAATCTAGAGGGAAAACCATGAAGAAAAAGCCAAACTTCGTGAAAATCGGATGAGATTTGGCCGAGATATGGGGGTGGTAATTTTTGACCCATGTCTATATACGAATATTGGGGTAAGATTAGGACATGAATTTCGATCAAAAAATCGATGTTCAGATTTGAATGCCAGATTAATCTAGAGGGAAAACCATGAAGAAAAATCCAAACTTCGTGAAAATCTGATGAGATTTGGCCGAGATATGGGGGTGGTAACTTTTGACATATGTCTATATACGAATCTTGGGGTAAGATTTGGACATGAATTTCGGTCAAAAAATCGATGTTCAGATTTGAATGCCAGATTAATCTAGAGGGAAATCCATGAAGAATACGCCAAACTTCGTGGAAATCGGATGAGATTTGACCGAGTTATGGTGGTGGTAATTTTTGACCCATGTCTATATACGAATCTTGGGGTAAGATATGGACATTAATTTCGACTAAAAAATCGATGTTCAGATTTGAATGCCAGATTAATCTAGAGGGAAAACCATGAAGAAAAAGCCAAACTTCGTGAAAATCGGATGAGATTTGGCCGAGATATGGGGGTGGTAATTTTTGACCCATGTCTATATACGAATCTTGGGGTAAGATTTGGACATGAATTTCGACTAAAAAATCGATGTTCAGATTTGAATGCCAGATTAATCTAGAGGGAAAACCATGAAGAAAAATCCAAACTTCGTGAAAATCTGATGAGATTTGGCCGAGATATGGGGGTGGTAATTTTTGACATATGTTTATATACGAATCTTGGGGTAAGATTTGGACATGAATTTCGACTAAAAAATCGATGTTCAGATTTGAATGCCAGATTAATCTAGAG